GCCCTATGATAGTGACGGTACCAAAGTGCAGAAACCTATGATTGTGGGTGCTTTTCTCCCACATTAAGATGACATGCCATTATATAACTGGAATACTGTTAAAAGCAGCATTAAACACAACTCACAATTCGTCACAGATTAATCTGATAGTGTGATATAACTGAAAAACTGTTCAGATCAGTGTTTAACCAAACTGCTCTCGCTCCCTCCCTCCTTCCCTCCTTCCCTCACTCACTCACTCACTCAAGCTAGTAATACCTGATACTGGCACAACATTCCAGTTTCTTGTAAGAGACAAAGTCTCCAATGTGTATGAATGTTTGAAACTTAAAGCTTTCAATGTGGCCTTTTTTAAAAAACCAAGCTTTTATCATATACTTAAATGAATGCTTTGAAATTCCACTGCATTCTTGACAAAGAATGTGCACACAATGAGACATATGTATTACATGTCCACCAAACAATTGCTTTTGACGTAGATGTTGGAAAATGTTTCCAATTCATTATGTTCATTCTCTCATACATGAACGATTTTGAATGGATGACATTTGAGAAGACACACTCACAAAGAAAAAGAACCTCTGCATGTACAATGAAGACATAAATTCCTTTCAGCAAATTAAAATTTTGAACTGTGAATATGATCTTACCTGCATGGGAGACTTTCAAAAGATATTGAGGGTTCAAATTGTGTCACTCATCACTAACACAGCAAGGAGATCGGCAGTGGTTTGATATTTCTCCAAACCCGCGCAGGTGTGAGCTAACTGTATACCTCCGTCTCTAATCTCCCAACATCTGCATGGGAGGAAACAGCGTGAAATCCCCCAATGTGTTCAACCCGGGGTCTGACGTCCCACCAAACACCAGATAACTCAGTCAACCGACAGTGTGTACGTGTGACTATCACGGTGATAGCATGCACATTGTGATATTGACATGACGGTGGTCTTTACCTGGTTTGCTCTAATATTCATTTCATGCCAATCCTGTCTCTTAAAACATAAGACAGAAGTGACTAATCAATATGAAATTTATGTATGCATAATACATGAGCATATATCTTATTCTGCATCATATCAACCTGAACATCTAGACCTGCAGGGGAAATTAATTTCAGTCCAACTCAAGCTTGACATCCTCATCACAATCAGAACATGTCAAGCTATATTACTATACCTGCTGTCTATAGCAAGCACCTTGCAACACATCCTGAAAGATAAGACCATAGGGAGATATAGGCTTGTATCACACACGTGCGCAATCCAAAACACTTGCCATCACTCCTAGGTTTGAGTGGCAGGCATGGATTAGATCAATAGCATAACACTGTTATTGACAAGATAGATAGATATACATTACAGGGCGGTGAAGCAAGAGAAATAGAACGCTGTCAATCTAATTAGAACCTTTCACACTTCCTACACACGATCCCGTTCTTGGCGATCTGTCTTTATTAATATTACTACACATCACCTGCATCAATAACTGGTGCAGTGATTATGTAAATACTTATTAGATAAAGGATATTGGCAGCTTATATGCTAATCAGTGTAGCCAGGATCTGGATGATTGGATGGATGTGTTCTTGACAATAACTTGATCTGGTGGGTGTTCGATAATCACTGCGTGGTTGTGTGCATGAAAGAACTGAGAAGACATGGGGGTGTGATTTATTACACAATACTATTCCTCACATGTTACACCAATAGTGATATCAGAAAATGAGGGTTATGACGAAGTTATGTCATGCAAGATTTGTGACTGGGTCTGGACTAGGCAAACCCTCTTGATGTTGTGGCATTGAACCAGGCCACTGAGGTAAGTTGTCCCACATAGGAAAGTATCTCAAGTCTGTCCAGGTGACGGACCAGGCAAACCATGCAGTGTTGATGTTATGGGCATTGAATAATGCAGTGTTGATCAATGTTGTGGGCATTGAACCACACAACTAAGGTAAGCTGTCACACACAAGTCTGATTGTCTGCCTCCTTTTGTCATAAATGAATATTGGTTTCCTCTAGCAATGACTGAATGTTGGTCTCTGGTGATGGCTGAATGTTGGTTTCTGAGTATAGCTGAATGTTGGTCTATGGTTATAGGTGAATGTTGGTCTCTGGTTATAGGTGAATTTTGGTCTCTGGTTACAGCTGAATCTTGGTCTCTGGTTACAGCTGAATGTTGGGTCTCTGGTTACAGCTGAATGTTGGTTTCTGGTTACAGCTGAATGTTGGTCTCTGGTTACAGCTGAATATTGGTCTCTGGTTACAGCTGAATGTTGGGTCTCTGGTTACAGCTGAATGTTGGGTCTCTGGTTACAGCTGAATGTTGGTCTCTGGTTACAGTTGAATGTTGGTCTCTGGTTATAGCTGAATGTTGGGTCTCTGGTTACATCTGAATGTTGGTCTCTGGTTACAGTTGAATGTTGGTCTCTGGATACAGTTGAATGTTGGTCTCTGGTTATAGCTGAATGTTGGTCTCTGGTTACAGCTGAATGTTGGTCTCTGCATGGTTACAGTTGAATGTTAATTTCTGGATACAGCTGAATGTTGGTCTCTGGTTATAGCTGAATGTTGGTCTCTGGTTAAAGCTGAATGTTGGGTCTCTGGTTATAGCTGAATGTTGGTCTCTGGTTACAGTTGAATGTTGGTCTCTGGTTATAGCTGAATGCTTGTCTCTGGTTACAGCTGAATGTTGGTCTCTAGTTACAGCTGAATGTTGGTCTCCGGTTATAGCTAAATGTTGGGTCTCTGGTTATAGCTAAATGTTGGTCTCTGGTTATAACTGAATGCTGGTCTCTGGTTACAGCTGAATGTTGGTCTCTGGTTATAGCTAAATGTTGGGTCTCTGGTTATAGCTGAATGTTGGTCTCTCGTTATAGCTTGATGTTGGGTCTCTGGTTACAGCTGAATGTTGGTCTCTAGCTACAGTGGAATGTTGGTCTCTGGATACAATTGAATGTTGGTCTCTGGTTATAGCTGAATGTTGGTCTCTGGTTATAGCTGAATGTTGGTCTCTGGTTACAGCTGAATGTTGGTCTCTGCATGGTTACAGTTGAATGTTGGCCTCTGGATACAGCTGAATGTTGGTCTCTGCATGGTTATAGCTGAATGTTGGGTCTCTGGTTATAGCTAAATGTTGGTCTCTGGTTATAACTGAATGCTTGTCTCTGGTTACAGCTGAAAGTTGGTCTCTGGTTACAGCTGAATGTTGGGTCTCTGGTTACAGCTGAATGTTGGTCTCTGGTTATAGCTAAATGTTGGTCTCTGGTTATAGCTGAATGTTGGGTCTCTGGTTATAGCTAAATGTTGGTCTCTGGTTACAGCTAAATGTTTGTCTCTGGTTACAGCTGAATGTTGGTCTGTGGTTATAGCTAAATGTTGGTCTCTGGTTATAGCTGAATGTTGGTCTCTGGTTATAGCTAAATGTTGGTCTCTGGTTATAGCTGAATGTTGGTCTCTGGTTATAGCTGAATGTTGGGTCTCTGGTTATAGCTGAATGTTGGGTCTTTGGTAATAGCCTAATGTTGGTCTCTGGTTATAGGTGAATGTTGATCTCTGGTTATAACTGAATGTTGGTCTCTGGTTATAGGTGAATGTTGATCTCTGGTTATAGCTAAATGTTGGTCTCTGGTTATAGCTGAATGTTGGGTCTTTGGTAATAGCCTAATGTTGGTCTCTGGTTATAGGTGAATGTTGGTCTCTGGTTATAGCTAAATGTTGGTCTCTGGTTATAGCTGAATGTTGGGTCTTTGGTAATAGCCTAATGTTGGTCTCTGGTTATAGCTAAATGTTGGTCTCTGGTTATAACTGAATGCTGGTCTCTTGTTACAGCTGAATGTTGGTCTGTGGTTATAGCTAAATGTTGGTCTCTGGTTATAGCTAAATGTTGGTCTCTGGTTATAGCTAAATGTTGGGTCTCTGGTTATAGCTGAATGTTGGTCTGTGGTTATAGCTAAATGTTGGTCTCTGGTTATAACTGAATGTTGGTCTCTGGTAACAGCTAGCTAACCTTCATAAACTTAATTAAAAGAAAAACATATCTACTTTTCCCCCTTCCGTGCCTATGTAAAACCCTTATACCCCACTCTTGAACTTTATATATTACAACCACCCCTCCTTTTATAAACTTTACCAGATACCGGTGAAAAGACGACTGATTATTCCCTCTCCATGGTAGGCTTATATATGTGACCAGGAAAACAGACGCAACCAAAGATGTTAAACTTAGCTTCTCGGGTTCAGATCAGAGGTGAGGTGAGATGAAATGGGGTTTAATGTCACGTTCAAGATTGTTGCACTTGTTTTGTGACGTGTATCACAGGCCACAGTTTAACATGAATACCAAACTCAGACTCCAAGCAAATCAGTCCTTGGTTTAGCCCCTTCATGCCAAGTGCCAGGCAGGGTAACAACAAGTACCATCACTATAAAATTGGCATCAGTCTAGTACAAGCAGCCACACACACACATTACTAATCATTACACTTAGATGAAGCAAGGTGAGACGGAGATTTGATATTTAGCAAACTGCATGCTGTGTTGTATCTTAGAGCAAACACAACCCTGCCTATCATGTACTTGACATCTGTAGTGTTTCATGTTTAAGATTGAAGTAAAACTAGCCAGGTGTTTAACACGTCTATAGCTCTACACTTTACAATTTGTATATTTAGTTACAATTTGTAGGTAATAAAAGAATATTTACTACTAATACCTCACAGAAGGAGACCAAATGTACTCCATCACCAACTAAATGTGTTTCTCAAATGTTCAAATGAAACCAACCCATCTCAAGACAGGAAACACTCACATGAAATGAAAAGAATACAATCTCACAACTATTTCATTGCCATGAAGCTTTGGTATTATTTCCTCACAAAAATTTAATAGATCTATGATAGAATTAACACCAACTACTTCCTTCCTTGACTGTGGGGTTTATAGGCATGAGTGTGGGTGGCAACAGGGATATGTGGCAGCCAAGTACCAGCTTACCCACTAGCCCCTAGGTAGAGGAGCAGGGAAGAGAGGTGAGGGGAGAGGGGAGGGGAGAGGGAGGATGTGGGGGTGTTCATGGAGGGAATGGGAAGAGTGTGGAGGAGAGGAGTAGAACAGGTAGGACAGAGGAGGACCTGGGGGATTGGGGAGTGGGGAGGAATTGGGGGAGGGGAGGGAAGAGGGTGAGTGGTCAGGAGAAGCATGACAGAGCAGGGGAGGAGTTGGCAGGTGTGTGGAGGAGGGTAGAAGAGTGTTGATGAGGGGTGAGGAGCGGGAGCAATGGGGAGGAGAGTGGAAGAGCAGGTAAGAATGAGAAGAAGCGGAAGGCATGGGGAGGAGTAGGGAGGAAAGGGTGGGAATGAGTGGAGGGGGAGGAGAGCAGATGAGCAGGGAAGAGTGGGAAGGAGCAGGAAGGTGGAATGAGAGGAGTGGGGAAGAGAAGGGAATTAAGAGCAGAGAATAGTGTGAAGGAGCAGGAAGGAGGAAGGAGAGAAGTGGGGAGGAAAAGGGAAGAGCAGGTAGGAGCGGAATGAGGAGGAAAGAGAACCAAGTGGGAAGGAGCAGAAGGGGAGGAATGGGAAAGGAGTAGGGAGGAGAGGAGAAGAGTGGGTAAGCATGGGAAGGAGCAGGAAGGAGGAGGAATGAGAGGAGTGGGGAGGAGAGGGGAAGAGGAGGTAATAGTGGAAAGGAGTGGAGAAGAGAGGGAAGAATGAGAGGAGTGGGGAGGAGAGGGGAAGAGTAGGTAAGAGAGGAAGGAGTAGGTAAGATGGAAAAGGATTGGGGAAGAGCGCAGAAGGGCATGTATGAGCGGAAAGGAGCAGGAGGAATGGGAGCGGCAAGGGTAAGAGCAGGCAATTGGGAAGGAGCAGGAAGGGGAGGAATGATAGGAGATGGGAGGAGAGGAGAAGAGCAGGTAAGAGTGGGAAGCTGATGAATGAAAAGAGTGGGGAGGATAGGGAAAGAACAGGCAAGAGTGGGAAGGAGCTGGAAGCAGGAATGAGAGGAGTGGGGATGAGAGTGGAAGAGCAGGTTAGAGACGGATGAAGGAGGAATGAAAAGAGTGGGGAAGAGATGGGAAGAGCAGGTAAGAGTGGGAAGGAGCAGAGAGGAGGATCGGGGAATGGGAAAGGATTGGGGAGGAGAGGAGAAGAGCAAGTAAGAGTGGGAAGGAGCAGAGAGGGGAGGAATGGAAAGGAGTGGGGAGGAGAGGGGATGAGCAGGAAGGAGTGGGAAGGAGCAGAAGTGAGGAATGGGAAAGGAGTGGGGAGTACTTGAGAAGAAAGGGAGGAATGAGATGAGATGGGAAGAGCAGGTAAGACAGGAAGGAATGGAAGAGGGGTGGAAAAGAGAGGGAAAGAGAGAAGTGGAGGTAAGAGAGAGAGAGAGAAGAGTGGGAAGGAGCCAGATATTTCAGGGTAATGTACAGTGATACCCTGTTACTCTGGATGGTACACTTCCCAAAGAAATTGTGAGTGAAATAGTAAGTGAACTGCATTTAGCACTGCTTAAAACCTTATTTCAACATGGCAGGGAAGACAACAAAGTATGGCATGTGCAGATATGCTGGTACAATGACAAAGGATCTTCATAAGGACAAATGAGGGATTTGAACCCATGATCATTGCTTCCTGGCATGACAAATGGCATTGCCTCAGTCCAAACCAATGTCTCCTTAGAACCTTCAGAATTGCTTTAAAGATAAAAGGTTCACAAGAACCCACAACCGCTGCCACTAACCAGTCAGTCCTAAGCCAGATGACAATACATTCTCCCCAAATCTAGTAATGCTAAAAAAACCACTAGAGTCTGAAAATAGATATCCCTGGATTTGTTTACTAGACAACTAAATAGGCCACATAAATGTTGTAGGATCAGATTTTGAAGAATATTTCTATTTTCTCTAACCTTGATATGGAAAACAAATTATGTTTATGTGAGACATTTTTTTACTCTGCACTGTGCAAAGATTATGGTCATTAAACAAAAAGTATTCCTCAATACATTTATTTTGCCAGGTTATGTCGTACAAGATATATATTTAGTAACATAATCTATCTCTATTGGGATATTTTATATTATGTCCTTTGGATCTCATTGCATGAAATATCATTTGCTGTATTATCAAGAACACATAAATATAATTTCTTGAGCACTATTCTTTAATATTGTCTTGATTTATGTTTTTTAACTCTCAATTAATATTTCGTCCAAAGACAATAAGTTTTTCATGCTGAAGTTTCAGATAACATAATGATCCTATTTGAAAAGATTCTGAAAACAAATATTAACTTGTATAGCAAAGAGTCTCAACAGAATAACAGAGAAATATAAAACATCAACATCAATATCCATTCTCGATTATCTGCCAAAACAGATTCCACTGGGCGTAAAAGTCAAAATAGCGCTTAAAAACTATGAAATGGTGAAAAAGTAGGTGCAAAATAGGCCCATTTAATCCCAGCCTGGCTGGCCTCTGAAAATAGATACCAGCATTTCAAAACCCTTAAATCTAATTTTCAATATGAGCTGGTCACTAAATGGAACAAAAATCATATTGGTACTTCAAGGATATGTCCAGAAAGGCCTTAGTCAAACGTGAAAAGAAATGCCATAGCATGGTCACCTGGTTCGTCATCTATATATTGTATAAAAGTTTGAACATCATATGTGGGTCTATGCCTTTAAAGCCTTCTTGAGTACGAGCTATCAGAAACAGCTTCAGCTTTTTAACACAACGTCCATGTAGACATTAATCAAGTTTGAGAAATCTATTGGTCTCATGATTTGACAGCCATCTTGTACTCACATTTCAATTACTGTTTTTCAGATGTAATAATTTCAGAGTTCTTCTACTTCAAAACAATCATTCAAAAAACATGACGCTTTGTGAATGTAATGTCTATGTAGACTTTAATCAAGTTTCAGAAAACTATTACTTTACATCAAGTGGTTTGGTTGCCATTTTGGAATCAAGTTTGAGTTTCCTTTTTCAAGAGCAAACCTCTAAAGAAACTTTTTTCTTCAGAGCTATCAGTTGGAAATGCTGGATCTTTGTAAGTACAACTTCTATATCTGAGTTAATCAAGTTTGCGATTGGCGTTCATATTTGATTCAAGTTTGAACTAACAGTCAAAGGAACAACTTTATCTTTTTACTCACAATGTCTATGGGGACCTTAATGATATTGGACATCGGTTTCATAGCTTAGTGGCCATAATGGATTCAAGTTTTGCTGCTTTTTTACTAAAAATATAAAACCCTGTCGAAACAGATTCCATTGGGTGTAAAAGGCAAAACTGTAGTGAAAAATATATAAATAGATCACTGAAAATCAGTGATGACACCAGGTGTTCAAGAAAAGGGTAAGCATGTCCTGACATACCAGTAGCACCTGGTAACAAGCCTTTGTGTTCATTACAACATTTTGTATGCAGACATGCCCTTCAATGGATGTTACTGCATACAAATAATGATGTATGCTCTGGAAGAGGTATATTAATACACAAATGTCACTGATATGGATATGAGTGAGTGAGTGTGGTTTAACACAGCTTTTAGCAATATTCCAGCAATATCACGGCGGGGGACACCATAAGTGGGCTTCACATATAGTACCCATGTGGGGATTCGAACCTGGGTCTTTGGCGTGACTAGCGAACACTTTAACCACTTTAATCACAGTCCCAATATGTATATAATTGGTAGAGTTGAAGCTGTCCTGTCCAAAACTGGAAATAAACATACACAACCTTCCAAAACATCCAAGACCACATGATAATGAATAAGGTAGACACAATTTTATGGATAACAATTTCTTTAATACTGTAAAGAGCGACGTTTCGGTAAAGATCCTTATACTGCTGTCAAGCAAGTCATTGCTTGACAAAGGTATAAGGATCTATACTGAAACGTCGCTCTTTACAGTATTAAAGAAGTCACATCATTTCCAACCTCATCAATAGTACTGGTATGACAATGGGCACTTAAAACATATCACCAGCTGATGAGTATTAAAAACGGTGCCAGAGCTATTGGGATGCACCACACTGGAGAGTCAATGGCAGTTGTAACACATTTGAAGGTCACTTAGTGTGTGAGTGTTATTTGGAGACAGTGGTACCACACAAATGGAACTGTTGCACGTGATCAAAGATCTGTTCATCCTTGGATCAAAACACTGAGGCAGGATGATATTGGTTTTAACCTGGACCTGAATAACAATTTTCTGTCTGTAAATAATCAAGTCTGGTCCAGACAATCCAGTGATTGACATCATGAGCATTGACCTACGCAATTGGGATACAATGACATGAATCAACCAAGTCAGCAAGCCTGACAACCCGATCCCGGTAGTGGCCTCTTATGACAAGCATGGGTTGCTGAAGATTGATTCTAACCCGGATCTTCACAGGTTGAGCAGGAGGGAGTGAGGAAGTCGGGTTTAGCGCCACTTTGAACAGTATTCAAGTTATATCATGTCATGTCAACTTGATGCAGGGGGAAAGCCCGGAGTGATGCAGGTCTTTGGTGAAATCAAAGAGCATGGGTATGGTGCTGACAAACCTAGAAGCATAATTGATCCAAAGTTTGATTCAAACCCATCATAGGTTGCTGGTGTGACCATGAGATGTAACTCTGCACAGCACCTTAGATGATTGGGCATGAGGTCAAGGTGCACCAATTGGATCAGAAACAGGGGTGGTTACACAAGATACACCCTGCTGTGCTATGAGTGGGACAGGTTTTTGTGTGAACATGATGTTACAGGGTACCCCTTGAGTTGCTCCACCACTGAGGTCCTGCTGACTGTGTCGCTTAGAATCTGTAGCTCAACACAATTCAATCGTATTCAGCCAGTATGTCTTCATTGTTTTGGGAAATTGTTTTTCAGTCCTATTTTACATGGGTGACACTTAAATAGTACATGGAGATTATACAGGAATGAGATGGTAGCTGAAAGTCTATATTTCTACTTACATTGATATTTATACATTATACTTATAGTCGAGATTGACCGACTTCGTTGTCTATAGGATAGAGCATCTGCCCGTAGAGCAAGATGGTACTGGTTGTTTCCCAGACTGGTGCTAAAATCAAGGACTGTTCTGCTCAGAGAAGTATACTGTGAATATATGTAAGAACATTAGTGCAATTATCCCATTTCAACACCCATTTCAACAGCATATAGACCAGACTAATGAAATATATATTTGATTGTAATCTCCATTCAGAATAAACAAAGCTGGTTATCTATATTTTATAAAACAATTCCGAAATGGTTCAGATCCCCTTTAGAGTACATGTATGCCACTGACTTTGTGGTACCTCTTTAAAGAAAAACCAATGCAATTATCAAAATTTAACTTCCATATTTTGCAATAGATCATTAAAATATTTAAGATTAACATTAATTACCTAATCTGCCTGTCACAATTTGGCCAAACAAAACATACAAACACAATTTTGAAAATAATCAGTAATAACCCGTAAACTATTATCTGAAGATAGACAGTTACATTGACATATTGAATATATATGTTCTATCACGCTCTCTCCAGCAAGTAAACCTGAAGTGAAAGGATAGCATGTATCAAAGCAAACTGACTGATTGCCTTATATTGAAAACTTTTATTAATTTGTGCCTTCAGGTATTTGGGGCATAAAACAAATGATCACATTAATTTTGCCTAACAAAAAAACTTCCACTAAACATAATTGATGTATTTTAGAAAAGTACAACTCAAAACTGCTTACGATGGAAAACTTGTTTGCTTTCAACATTGTTGCTGCTGATACCCCCGGAAAGCCAGACATTATCAGTTACCACCTTCAAAGACGTACATACACTGTGATGAATCATGACAGAGCCCATTGAAAGCAACACCTATCTCTATTACCTGGAAGTAAGTTCATCTATCATCCATCTTACTCACACCAAGATGAGGATGGACACCCTATACGGTGAACAAAAACACAGTAGCTTC